AGTATGGATGCACAGAGTTTATACACGAAAGTTATCACTCTCAGTTTTCAGACTTCATCCAAACAGAGCTTACCGTAATAAACACTTCTTCTTACAGGCAATGTGACCTTCATATGACCCAGGTGAACTGCCAGTGTCAACAATGTTGGTAAATATCTTGAAACCTAAATTAATGGTTTCGTTTTGCTTAATGTATTCTTTTGTGCGCTGAAAGTACCTTTAACTCATATTGTTGTCTCCACAAATACATGTACAAACACGCGAGAAGGTAGAAAGAGACAATATAACCAGATGTTTAACCAACGGACTTATAACTCACAGACAAACAAATCTAAATGAAAAACCAAAACAAAAAGGTCTAAAAAGCAGATTACTGCTTGAAGCCTGACTGATGTACATTGTGTAGGGGTTAGAATAAATCGACTGTACTGAGTTTAACATATGTGTTAGGAATGCTACTAATGCCTGTCAATTTGATGGTTTCCATATCACTACAGGGTTTGGTGTGAAAACAAAACAACAAAATAAGGGCGGGGTAGCTTGCTACTACAATTCACATTCATGTATACCCAGTAACAGTATCTTAAGTTAACAAACTTGGTGGAGGCTGTTTTATTTTCCCCTAACAGATAACAGATGCTATTCAATACACAATAATAGTTTGATTTTTAATGTAGAGCTTAAATGCCTGTCACTCAAATATCTTCAGTTTTAATTTTGATATTATTCCCAGGTACCAGCTACATTGATGGTGAGCTCAAGTGAACTAGAGCACACTTATGTCAACATACTTTATTTTTGGTAAAATTCAGTAAATGTGTGAAATAGGAATTGCTGACATTGAGAGTATTCTACAGAAGCGTTTGTTATTTGTCAAATCAATCTACCAAGCCTATGGGAGTGATCAGTGATCAAAAAAATGCAAGAGGGAGCGCTGCAATTCAACGGCACCACCAAGTGGGAGAAATAGGGTTCTCCCTACCAGGGCGTGGAGTTTTTGATAATTCTAAGTTAAAATAGAGCATTCTCTGGCTTCCTTGGGGCCAAATTACTATCAGACAGGTCACAGTTGACTGTGGCCACATGTGATCCCTGGTCAATCAGAATTTTATGGTTGCCAGAGGATCTGCTCCCCAGGGTAAGGGGGTGCATGGCCATGGCATGAGGGGCTGGTGATGACACAAATGTTATCTACCGTAATCTCAAATAAAAGCTGCCTTTTGGTGAACTATTTTTAGTGAAACTAAGACATTTTTTATAAAAAATACTCTAATATTGATTTTTTTATTTATTACCCATTTTTTTTTATTTATTATTTATTACCTATTTCTTCTAATTTTTGAGATGAAACAAAACCTGAAAAAATTTGCTTTGGGAGAATCCGCATCAGAATTCAAATTGAGCCGACTCCATCCTGATTGTCATGAACAGTACGCGTTGTAGAATAGAAAAAGAAACAGCCATTTGGAATCAGAACTTTGAACTGAATGCATGTCAATATAGGTGACATGATTTATAAAGTATGAGGATACTTGACTGCAATCAGTCAGGGCAATCAGTCAGGGCATGTCATAAGTGATGAACGAAGTACATGTGAAATTCGAACATCATCTGTGAAGGCCTAGGCGTCAGAGATACGGCTCTCAGACAGCATCTTTTTTTAAAACAAAATGGCTGTCAGTCAGCAATTTTGAATTTTGAAATGGGGGCTAAATATATAACAGAAAATGCTCACACATCGATAATAATATGAATATGAATAAGCACAATCTGCAAATCAGCAAAATCCTCTCCCATAAATGTCATTGAAATATAATGTACTGGTAGTACCAGATTTGCATGCATTTGCATAAATCAGACAAGTGTATCTCTTCTACAGCCAAAATAAGTAACATGCTCTCACAAAGATAACATCTGCTCTGAGGCAAATGAACTCCAGTGCGTTGAGCGCAATTTCCCATATTCAACATGTTATATATTCACCATATTTACATTGTGCCTTTTACAATATCCAAAGATTCCTAGGAAATCGGGAATATAACAGCTATGTTAATCTGAGCTCAGGTATCTCACGGTAATGCAGCAAAATCCTATATAATTTTTTCACCATCAGTAGTTATACGTATGTAGACCCACTTACAGAACATCACATGAATTTTGTACACTATCTCACATAGCAGTTGGATAAAACAATGGTAAAACATTAACTTATTGTAGAATAGTTTTATACTTTATTTTCGCTTGCAATTTATTTTCGCTATTTTCGCTGAAGGGATCATTCCGTGAAAATAAAATCCAGCGAATATACTTTTTTTTCTATATTTCACATTAAACTCATCAAAAATCAGGGAAAATAAATTCCAAGCAAAATGCCCAAAAAGCCTTTTCAGCGAAAATTAATGCCAGCGAAAATAAAGTATTTCACAGTATATCTTCCATTTACTACAAATAAATCAATAATTGCTACATTTACAGGACAGCATTTTATCTGAGCCCAATGCCATGTATATGTGTTCGACCCAAGCTGACTCGAGCCACGTTTGGCTCCAATAAACCCCCCTTGGGGTTGAACTCCGATAGGGAGGTGCCCTGACATGGCTCCGACCGTGTATATGCATCGGGCCCAACTATCAGAGTCAAAATCAAAAGAGGTTCTCTAGTGTCTTTGGTTTAGATTGACAACTGTTGCACACATCACAACAGTTGAACAATTACAAGATGGTAATTTTGTATGACAATGACTTAAGTGAATAGGAAGTAACACATTTACCGTATTTTAGCTGTTGTTTTCAGCTGTTTTCATACTAACTATTTGTGGTAACTGTTTCTTTTGGCTCTGATCAAACTGAATTGAACTCTAGAAGATCCCGGCTCTTTTTCAGTTCTCGACCGTGAAAACGAATTGGAGATAATCTTCCGATAGTCGGTGGAAGGTGCAGTAGTTCGGCACTGATAGAATGCTGCTGTGTAAACGTAGCATATAGAGAACTTTGTACTATCTATACAATGATACAGTTATAAATGAATGACCCATACAGGAACACTCGTTAATCACACACATTATAAATACCCTGTGCTCCATGTCTGCATATGAACATTACCGTACAAGTAATATAACAGTCAAACCAGTAACAGTAACCACTTGCCCATAGTAACCACCTTTCAGCAGTCCCAATGCAATTTACATGTAGACCTGTATGAAGACCACCTGTCTAAATGTGACTAATGAAAGTATTTTCTGAACCAACTTGTTCAAATAAACCTTTGTGTAATAGCATATTACTGTAAAATCTGTATTAGAAACCATGGCTTCTATTAAAATGGTACATGTACAATGCAACAGAGAGGATGCGGCTTCCATTAGAGCATCTACACATGAGAAATGGTAAAATTTGGGTTCTCAATTGTTCATAATGAATAGGTGCAGCTTCTAATACAGATTTTACAGTAATTTGATTTTTGTCTTGTAAATTATTTTTCACACTTAAATGTTGTTTCCAATGAAATGTTGTTTCAAAATCATATTCTACTGAATACTGCAGATAAAAAATATTTTAAGTACAATTCATCTGAATGAAAGAATCTTCTACATTTCTCGAATTCACGTTCTCAAAGTTCAGTCTACGGTACTTGCAATTGTGAAACAGTACGAATTGTTGAATGGGTAACTTATTTTCTCTTTCTTCTGGTGACGGTCAAAACAACTACCTTCTCTGAATAAAACATTTTTTTTGCTTTGTCGAAACATTGTTTTGCAATATATAAAACATCACAACTATTGACTCTAGCGAGACATGCAAAATTTCTTTTCGGTTCCATCTGATGCTACCGTACCTTAGACCAGATAAATGTTCTGCTGAGACCGCTTTCATTTGCAGTCAGTGAATACAGATACATTTGCCAGTCACAAAACTCATTTGACAGTTTTGACTCATTGACATATGTTAAAAAAAACAAAAAAACAATGTGCATTTTTACTGTGTTGTCGGCAAGGACTGAATGAAATAATAACCCATTTTGAGAAACTCCCATTTTCATTTTGCAGTTATTTACTAACAAAAATAATGATTATTACAACCTGTGTGTTAGAATAGCAAACCATGGACCGGGTTCCAGGACAGAGATTAATATTACCGGTACATGTATCATACAATATCAATCAGGACTCATAGCTTTATTATCGCCTATCATTTCCTGAGACATATATTTTTATAATTCATATTTTGTGTACAACAACAAAATTACGAATACGTGATTTTCATGAAAAATTTTCATGATTGCCGGGCCTACATGATCCCCCCGATAAAGTCGTTGGTCCTGAACCTTTGTATTGAGGCATATGAGGCATACTGCGTACGTACCTAAGGGCGGCTATATTTGAATGGGTATTGTTATGTACAAGGACGGGTTACTGTGTAAATGATGCGCAAGTATGCACGAACTTGGTAATTTGCGTATAGAACCACAATCAAGGTACCTAAATCGGCGGGAGTGGGGCGGGGTCAACATTTCTCTAACAAGTTGGGAAACCGTGAATTAAAGACATTTTTAGATCGATCATAAATGCAGCAACACCAGAAAGCTAAAAACAGCATTTGCGTTGATACCAACGTTTCATTGAATGTGCACGCTTGTTCCACATGTTCAGCACTCGACTCGACTGCGGGAACGCCAACGGCCGGTTTAGTGGCTGGTAATCAATGGCATGAACGTACAGAATGCAGACCGAACCTAGCGATTCCTGTTCCCCAAAATTTGTTTAAACTACTCACCCTACTGCGGATACCACGAATACATCCCCTGCAAGCCGCGAGTGTGTCCAGAATGATCGTCATTTCTACATCTCCGCTGCATAGTTTGTACTCATGTGTCAACATACGATGACATCACCAGACTTCAAACGGAAAGGGTGCAAAGGTGAAAACAGGGGGTGTATTACTTGTGACGTCAATTACGGCTGTGATAGGGTTGGCACCCTTGCAAACACTGTCTGTCACCGTGACTAGGCAAAAATCGTCGACTTCTAATACGAAAGCGAACAATCGTTTTGCCTGGCGACTTAGAGAACAAAACTCGTGATACGTATCTCGGTTGGCAGGGTTTTGTAACACGTAAAATAGTGCTATAGTGCAAGTGGTCCGTTTAGTTGCACACTTTCATCATATTAAAACTGAATGGGATTTTTTCGCCGCCATACAGCGACAGTAACTAAGCGTATAGGTCTCACAATATTAAAGTCCATGGGTAGCCTTAGCATCCTCTCGTTACGTGGGCGGGTGACACTGTATCACCGATATCTATCGTATCTATTGTAATTTATTGTATTTATTAGGTACAAGTATAGGTGCAGTCTTTAACAAAATGCATTTCTTTGCATTCTTATAATATGTAGACAGCCTTGGCTACACTGTAAATTTCAAGACTACCACAAGTAGCTAGAAAATGGTAACAAAAAGTGCCGAATTCCCGTAAAAACAATGTTTGTTTTTTGATATAATTTACTGTTGATAACATTTTATATAACAATCGGTATGCTTTAATATGTGAGAATTGTAACCACTTTAGTATACGGGATCTGTAAAATTTGCCTAATATTATGCAAAATAGGCATTTAGTGTCGGTAAATGGTCTAGTACACCGTGGAACGCCGAGCAAAGGTTACATCAAATGACAATGAGCATATACAATGTTAATAAGGTGCCCGTACTTGTTTTCATGGTAATAGTGACTTTGCGGTTTGCTCGCATCGTTCAATCTCAGTACGCTGGTGACCGTTTTGGATTGAAGTTAGTCAAACTTCATCACGGGGTTTTATAATTCATTTCAAATCTAGTTCGGGTCCGGCGTTCGGGTAACACCAAGTCACAAGGAGTAACCAGACCATTGAACATGACAAAATTATGGTGTTATTTGTGGCTTTATTATTTATGCTCAAATAAAAACGTCTAAAAGTACTTGTAACACAGAACTAAAAACGTCAATTTTGCCTTATCTTATCCCATTTACAGAGCATAGTTTCATTTGCTTTAACAATGGTTAAATACATTATATATTATAATATTAAATATATATATATATGCCCGTATTATAAAATATGTGTATCGACAGAACACTTGAATTTGCTGCGAATTCCTACATTGCACACACATAGGACTGCGGTCATGGGGCGGTACTTATATTGTGCGTATCTGAAAACTATTACATGGAATTGACAGAACCAATGACGTATGTGAGTTATGATACATACTGTTTAATGTCACTTGAACCCCTACACCCGCTTTCATGAAAAAGTGATTTTATTATATTTACATTCAAAAATATTTATAAAATGTTTATCCCAGAATATGCTAATCCAAAGAAGATGCTTTCATTGTCCATACAAACCATTTGGTACCCACGAGTCTTCATGGGGTTTGTTCAAATCTTTGGCCGATTTACTGCCATGAACGCAAACGATAGATGCCATCAAATTTATTTAAAACACTCAGAATTACATTGATTCGTTCGCTGTACAAATTAAAAGAATGCAAGTATACTAGTAGTAGTAATGTATTTTGGTACAGAACGAAAAAATTACGAAAGCGAGTCAGTGTCAAACAAGAGGTTAAAAGTTATTCGACAGATTGCTTTGTGGCTCTTTTCGGCGGAAAGGGGCAGAAATAGAGCCATGACCCCACGCCAACATTACGTGAGTAAATAAACCGCAGTCGATTGTAACCAGGGTGTAAATAAAAACAAGCACACGCTTTACATGACATACCGCCACGCCACGACTTACATATTGTATATGAACAACTTTTCGTTCATTCATAAATCACGGTCAATGACCTATTTCGTCCTATATCTAGTGAATGAAACTATTGCATGTTATTTGGTTATAATTTTCGGAAATATAAAGGTTGGAAACGACAACTTTTCAACAGGACAACGATCCGACGTAGAACGTGATGGAATCTCGGATTAATAACATAACTATCTTGATTTGCGTAACCATGTAAGTGTACATAGTTTCAGGCTCTGCGTACGAGATTGTGGAAATATAGTTGAGCTACTTTGCAAAGTAATTGTTTTCCTACGCCTAGTTTTGGGCTAGATTTGTTTTGACGACGATGCTACAGTCAATTTTTTTCTTTATCTACCAAGTACCGGTATTCGTGTCGGTCATTTTTCTCTGTGGAGTTTTGCCCGCCCCACACAAGTTTTCAGTTGAGTCGACGCCCACATACAAGATACCTTTTCTGTTTTGTTTTTCTAACCATTTCTTGTTCTCCCTGTTTTTTATTATATCATGTTTTCATTTTGTCTTCATTTGTATTTTGTCTTGCCATTTTATATGTATCTTTATTGTATTTTAAAAATCCAGATCCTGAACAGGATATGATTTCAATAAAGGCATTATTATTATCGCAAGGCCGAATGTGATATGCCAAAAAAACCTGACAACAAGCAAACTGCTTTCTGATTGGTTTGACTGTTAGGTGTTAGGTTTGGTAGCCAATCAGCTTACTACTAATATATACTTAGACCTTGGGGTTTACAGTTACAGTAATGATCTCTATACTGGACATGAATATTGTATATAGATATACACGTTGTCACTGGTTGCAAACACTAGAACATTTGGGTTATTATTATTTCGCAAAAAATAAAACCCCTGTTGCGGTATTCCATTCTGTGGCTACAATCTGCGCATGCGTCTAGGATTTTCGTATACACCATACGTATTGTAATCATACACTCTCTCAGAAGGGTCTGTGATGTACGAGTAATTTAAAACAAGCGTTTTCAATTATGTTTGTTATTCGAACAATTCACAGGTCTTAGAAATTCAGAGAACAATGTGTATTGTTGGTTAATAGCATACGCGTTGATAACACACATACGCAGTCTGGTCTGCTGACGTAACCCTGTAATTGGCCGACAGAGCATCGCGATTGGCCGATTATAATTGATCTGGTAGGCGCAACCACATCCCCTCTATTGAGTAGAGATACTGTTATGTCACTAATTTCATTGCAACTTTCGATTTTGACTATATTTTGCATCTAATGCCACTTTATTTTGTACTTCATACCTTTATGTTAAAAATATAAAATAAGTTTCTTTAATTCTCACCGTTCACTAATTATGTAGATAATTTGATGATTTAGTACAAATCTGCTTCACATGGGTAAGACTTCAAAAGGCTATGGAGCTGACACATTTGGTGAGCATGGTTGCTATAGTAATACATAGTAAGAGGTCAAATTCCTTAGCCCGTGCTAAGAAAACGTGCGTGAACGCTTAGCACGGGCTAAGGAATGCTAAGTACGGGTTAAATCTGATCCGAATTTAAGACGCGGTCTAGACCTTAGCACGGGCTAACGAAGTATGCGCGAACGCTTAGCCCAGGGCTAAGCGCCCTCTGCGGCGACCTTTGGGTGTGAAAATTGTCCCCATGTTCGTATAACGACAATATTCCACCAGTCATTACTCCGCGCTCGCTTCCACACTAATCGGGTCACTGT